ATAATTTTCTCATGCTTAAGAGTCAAATGCTATGACGGTGATAGGGAGCAATTGCATACGACGGCCCTCGCAATATATCTCAACCTAACGCGAATCCAGTTCAAGTCTTAATCAATTATGAGTCCATCCATAATCACCGACCATGAACCATTTATGATTATTATTTATATTCATGTATTGATCGCCATCACATACATATATAAATATCTCTTGTAATTAAGTGGACACTATCAATTCTATAATGAATCGAAACATAATACATTGAATTCACCAATTGTATAAAATATAAATATTTCAGAAACGTCGGGAACTTATGTCGCTTTAATCCAAATATGAATTTGTTATGCTAGGGCATATAAATCCCAACAGATAGATACATCAAAATACTTTATGATTTTTAATTAAGAGGATGGTAATCATAATGTACGTATATTTTTATCATACATGAATCCATATATATTTTAAAAAATTACATAAGTATATACTATAAACACATATTATTTAATTAAATACATATATATTCTGGTTTTAAGAATTTATTAAAATACTGTACATATCCATTTTCCGTTTTTCTAAGGTGGTTCTATATATATATATATATATATATATCGGAACGAAGTTACTATGCAATTTCGACTGCATTACCCAAAATAATAAAAAATAAATGCGAGGTGGATTGTATATTTATAAAAAAAAATAATAATAAAAAACAAGTAAAAGAAAAAAGAAATTTCGTTGTAAAAACTGAACAAGTTGACAGAAAAGCAACGTCCAAGGACTTTCGTTGTAAAACACAATGCATTAATTCAAAGAAACAGACACGAAACATCCGTTTCCCTCTTGTTTTTGTTTCTCTTTGTTTTGTAAAACGCGTTCATCGTAAACCCTCGCAACACCTACAGTACATATACATACAAAACTTCTTGAAGAAGAATCATCCATACATAGGCGGAAAAAACTCAAGTTCTCCGGCAACAACAGATCGCACAACCATTATTAATTATAGGTTATTTTTATTCTTCTAATTAAATTGAACCACATGTGTGCGTGTGTATATATATATATATATTTGTACTTAATTAATTGTATGCTTACTGATTATTCTGGTATATATGTATTTCTTCATTTAGAAGAAAAAACATGTCAGGCACAGACTCCGGCAGTCATGAAATGGACCTTGAAGCTCAGGCGGAAGTAGGCTTGCTAACAGCGAGCAATAGTTACAGGAGGCGGAGGCAGGCCTGGCAGCGGATCATCTTGGTGCTCCACTCCATGGAAATTTTCATGTCATCCAGGGCAAATGATGTTGGTGATCATCATCACCAAGACTCATCTTCTTCAATGGTCTCCTCATCTGCTACTACTACTTATACTCTGATGAACAGCACTGAATCCAAAGAGAGACTAATTAATTTCTCAATTTTACTCTACTTCTTTTAATATATATATTTTTTAATAGCTAAAATGTGATTTGATTGTCAATTATTATTATTTTGGTTAGGTAAATACTCTTCCACACATCACAAATGTCCGCTATGGTGTCGAATCCCTCAGCGTTCCTCTTAGGGAGGACTTAGTGGTAGCTTTGATTTATCAATTGCTAGACCAAACAAGTACCTTGATTATCAATTGCCCACTAACAAAAGCATCATCAAACTCGAGTCCAGAAAATAAATAACCGATTAAACTACTTCCACCATAATTAGGATTTTAATTTATATAGAGGTAACAATCATATAATGTATGTTGTTTCAACAGATTGATATTGTAGAAGAACTTGACCCATGTACACAAACAGGAAAACATATATATCAACTTACTGAAGTTAAGATACTGAATATTTCTAGATATGTTGGGGTATATCATGCTCTTGAAATTTAGAGAAAGATTAGGATAATTAAAATCATATTCTTCATATTTATTGATGGTGTTACATTCAATTTATAGAATAGGATTGAACTAAAATAGATAACTAATTACCTACCAATTAGCCCTAAATCAAGGAGTAAATAATTCAATCCTACAGCTGTACTATAAGAGATAAAATCTCAACACTCCCCCTTAAGTTGGTACATAGATGTCACAAATACCCAACTTGCCTAAAATTTTTGAAAACACTTGATTTGAGACTCCTTTAGTGAGAATGTCGGCTAGTTGATCCTCAAATCGAATCTTAGGCAATTCCACAATTTTCCCATCCAACTTTTCCTTAATGAAGAATCTGTCTATTTCGACATGCTTCGTACGTCATGTTGAACTGGATTATGGACAATATCACATGCTGCTCAATTGTTATAATATAGTCGAATAGGTTGCCCAGGTAGATAACCTAAATCCCGCAAGAGAAGTTTTAACCACATGTTTCACAAAGTGCAAGTGTCATACCTCTGAATTCAGCTTCTGCACTCGAACGAGCAACAACATTTTGTTTATTGCTTTTCCATATAACAAGATTACCTCCTACAAAAGTAAAGTAACTAGAAGTAGATTGCCTATCATCTATAGCTCCAGCCCAGTCAGCATCAATATATGAAGCTATGTTTTGATAACCAGCATTTTTAGTGAACAAAATTCCTTTTCCAAGAGCAAATTTCAAATACTTCAAAATGAGCATAACAGTATTCATATGTTGCTCTCCAGGATCATGCATAAATTGGCTAACAATGCTCAATGCATAAGCCAGACCCGGTCTCATGTGTGCTAAGTACATCAATCTCCCTATAAGTCTTTGGTATTTTCCTTTATTAGCAGGTACTTGGTTGGACTCAACACATAACTTCAGTCCTTCTTCCACTGGTGTCTCAGCTGGTTGACATGCTGTCATGCCAGTCTCTTGTAATAGATCTAAGGCATATTTTATTTGAGATAGAAAGATTCCTTTATTAGATCGAGATATTTCGATCCCAAGAAAATATCTCAAATAACTTAGATCTTTCATTTCGAATTCTCTCGACAAGTACTTCTTGAGAGCCTTCATTTCTTCAGGATCATTCCCTGTAACCACCATGTCATCTACATATACAATGAGTGCAGTGATCTTACCCTGTTGTTTCTTCAGAAATAACATGTGGTCTGAATTGCTCTGACGGTAGCCAAAGGCTATCATAGACTTTGTGAATCTTCCAAACCATGCTCTTGGAAATTGTTTCAACCCATAAAATGATTTCTTTAACCTTCCGACTATACTTTTCGGGTATCATACATCCTGGTGGGAGATCCATGTAGACTTCTTCAGATAATTCACCATGCAGATAGGCATTCTTCACATCGAACTGTTGCAATGGCCAATCCAAGTTCGCAGCTAAAGACAACAAGACTCGAACTGTGTTGATTTTGGCTACAGGTGCGAATATCTCTGTGTAATCGATTCTATAGGTTTGGGTGTAACCTTTTGCCACCAATCTTGCTTTAAAGCGTTCAACTGTGCCATCGGCTTTATACTTCACAGTATAAATCCATCGACATCCAATCGGTTTCTTTCCTGGTAGAGGATCAATGAGTTCCCAAGTTTCATTTTTCTGCAAGGATTTCATCTCTTCGTTTATAGCTGCTTTCCACCTAGGGTCAGCTAAGGCTTCTTGCACACTGTTAGGAATAGATACAGTGGATAATTAATTTACAAATGACAAATTTGATTCTGACAAACGATGGTTCGACACATAATTGCTCAGGGGATACTTAACTTTACTAGAAAGTTCGGGTTCATATGTGGGTTTAGGAATACCTCTAGTGTAACGCGGTGGTAATTGTTTTTTGATTAGCTCAGGCACAAAATCAGGAACATCCTCAACAGGCGATTGGTTTGATATGTCAGTTGCGAGGGACTTGAACTCGGATGACGATGGGGTTAGCGCCATACTTTCCATTTTTGGGTGTTCATCACCACTTTGATCCAAACTTATACCACTCAAATCCAATTCGCCCGATTCCTGATTGGTTGGTTCAACTTGTGAGTCATTAACACTAGAGTCGCCATCCTCAAAAGTGTGGCAATCATAATCTAGAGTTTGAATTTCGTTCTGGTACTCCCCCTAAAGTTCAAATACAGATGAAAAATACATCGAGTCTTCATGGAAGACAACATCCATTGTGATAAACATTCGTCGAGTTGGAGGGTGATAACAGCGATATCCCTTTTGATGAGTAGCATATTTGAGAAAAACACATCGCAATGCTCGAGGAGTTAGCTTGTTGCGTTGATGCTTATGGAGGTGTACAAATGCTACACAACCAAAGACATGAGGAGGTAGATTTGGGACGGTTGGGGCAACAACTGCGTCAGTGAGAGCCTGTAATGGTGTCCGGAAGTCAATAGCGCTGGAAGGTACTCGATTGATTAGATATGCTGCAAAGGTAAGTGCTTCTCCCCAATACGATAATGGCATATGCGCTTCTATCAATGAAGCACGAATAACCTCCAACAAGTGACCATTTTTTTGCTCTGCAACCCCGTTTTGCTGGGATGTATTGGAACAAGTGGTTTGATGAATAGTTCTATGTGCTTCCAAATACTGTAGAAGGTCAAAACTCTGATATTCTCCACCATTGTCACTACGGAGAACCTGAACATGTGCATTGTATTGAGTTGCAACCATTTTATGAAACTTCTGAAACAATAAGTTCACTTCACCTTTGGACTTCATCAAGCACAACCAGGTCATCTTGGTACAATCATCAATAAAAGTAACGTTCAAACCAACGGGATCCACCTAAAGTAATGACTTTGGACGGACCCCAAACATCAGAATGTATAATCATAAAAGGAAGTGGACTTTTATGCAAACATAATGGATATGAAACACAGAGAAGACGAATAGGATGTTTTGATATATAATAATATATATATATAGATCAGAAGAACAAATATATGTTCTATACCGTGGAGAAGACGAACTGGCGGTTTGATCTGGCGATGCGATGATGAAGAAGATCCGGTGACGGCTAATAGTGAAGAAGATCCGGCTTGAGATGGCAGTGGCTCGGAATGGCAGCGACTTGTGATGGCAGTGGCTGCGGCTTGTGATGGGAGATTGGTGGAAGGGATGAGGTGGAGAGGAGAGAGAGATGATTGGGTTAAATTATGAACTGGGATTTGAAAATCAGAATTAGTTGGTCAGAAAACTCATCTTGAGGATAAATTGGGCGATGGTGGATAGTAACAATATTCAATATTAGTGGCTCCATTGTGTTCCAGTAGGGATGGCATGCCTTCTCATTGGACCATGATCTGGAAGTTGGAGGTTTCTTAGTATGCAATTACATCACAGGATCCCATTTTGTTGTTCAAACCTATGAAAAAATGGGAGTCAGAAACTAGTTTTCTAAAGGGACGGACAAAGATGTTGAGTATGGTGACCATATGTGTATGGGTATGGATGGGTCTTTGAATTTCTGTATATGGGTATGCATGGGTCTTTGAATTTCAAAGATAAATTCAAAGAGATTCAAAGGTACGGTTCAATGATGGCTCTGATACCATCTTGAAATTTAGAGAAAGATTACGAGAATTAAAATTATATTCTTCATATTCATTGATGGTGTTAAATTCAATTTATAGAATAGGATTGAACTAAAATAGGTAACTAATTACCAACCACTTAGCCCTAAATCAAGGAGTAAATAATTCAATCCTACAACTGTACTATAAGCATCAAAGCATTAATCACTTCATCATCTGGGATATGGCAACGAAATCAAGTCAACACGACTTAAATTTCAATTTTAAAAGCTTTTGGTCACTCACGAAAACAATTATAATCCAGAGAGAGAGAGAGGGGTACTTGTTGATTTATTTTCTTAAGATCCAAAATCTTCAACATCTTCTTCTCCATATGTGATATTGTCCTTTGCCAAAAGACTGATATTGTTCTTGTTTTTAGAACTTCGTACATACTTGCCATATTGAACTGCAATCACAACCTAAAACCAATTCTTTCACTCCAGTTTGTTGTGGTGGTAATAAACATCTGATCTACAAAAGAAATGAAAGATCATATACCTCTTCTATCCTGTGACAAACTTGCAATCACTTTCTAATTCTCTCTTGTTTTTCCTCCTTATATGGAGGGTATTTATAAGCAATACAAGTAGTTTCAAAATCAGAAACAATGATTGACACCAACTCTGGGAAAGGTTTGATCATTCAATCCAAACATTCAGAGCTTACTAGAACATGGTTGACAGGTCAAACTGTCCCTTTATTGTTAAGCACTTACAGTGGTGTCCGAACAATTGAACCTTAATTACTTGACTAGCCTGTTGCATTCTGGACAACCTTGATTGATCAACCTCTTTTGCCTCAATATATTGTGGTTTTCATCTAAACAATATTTTGACCCATAAACTTCTTGGACATTTGAAAAGCACCCTTTTTCATTAGTGTTGATAGCCCAACAATCAAATAGAAGACTTCTATCACAACATTTACCAAAATGCAATTTGCAGCATATGTCAAGACCTAATTGTCATAAGGTTTGAGTCAATACCAGAGAACCAATATTAATTTGTAGCACTAATTAACAATGCCCTACTACTTCTAGGATTTTAAATCCTGAATTTTCTATATTTCAGGATAGGGAAATTAATGTAGAAAGTGCTGATACGTTACCAGCCTCCCATGAGGATTCCTCAACATTTGAGAACCCCCAAAGGGGCATTGAGCCCCAGCATTGCCAACGTATAATTATCAACAAGATTGTAGAAGAGAAGAATCTGGATCCGCTACGTGACTTCGGTGTGCAAGGAGTTGCAGTGGCATTAGACACTGATTTGGAAAATGGTATCCCTGGTGATGAGCAAGATCTTGCTCAACGCAGACCATACACACTCACTCAAACTCAGGCTCCTATGCCATCCATCTTTCGTTTCCTCTTGGAAGCTTGCAACAATTACACCATTTTTGTCCTTATATTGGCTGCTGTTCTGTCCATTGCCTTTGGGGTCAAGAAGGAAGGGTTGCAGTATTGTTGGTTCGACAGTGCTCTCGTGATTCTCACCATCATCATACTTATTACTTTTCCAGCGATACGCAACTATCGGCATGAAAAAAGATACTGGGAGAAGGCAAATAAGCAAAAGTTGTCAAAGGAGACAGAAATGCAGGTTGATGTGGTGAGAGGGGGAAGCCTCAAGCAGATCTCTATTGCAGACGTTGTTTGTGGTGACATAGTATCATTGAAGAGGGGATATCATGTTCCCGCTGATGGTTTGTTCGTAGCTGGTGAAGCCTTGGAATTAGATGATGGGTTGCAATTAATTGATGATCAAAACCCATTTTTGTCTCATGGTGCCAGAGTGATTAATGGTAATGCTCGAATGATTGTGACATCTGTGGGCACGAATACAGCATGGAGTGAGATGATGAGGACCGCAATGCATTCCTCTACCAAGAAGACTACATTAGAATCCCATCTTGATAAGGTGAGCACTGGCACACATTGGGCAGGGCTTCTCATCTGTATCATTGATCTTGTGGCATTGTTCCTGCGATTTCAACTGGGAAAGATGGATGATGAGAATGGCTACGGAGCTTCCAAGGGGGAACCAACGGCACTTAGAATCTTTGTAAATTCTCTCAAGAGCACAAGAGTTTTGACCTTACTTAGCATATCACTGGTAGGGATGGTGGAAGGAATTCCTTTTGTTATTACTCTTGCCATCACTTACGGGAATTGGAAGGTAGCGTCTGACAAAGTAAGTGAATTGAATTTACAAGCTTCTGTCAATATGGGCTCAATCACTACCATCTGCACTGACAGAATTGGTGGGGTGGAAGTTGACAAATTTTGGATTGGAAAAGAATTCATCAATGAAAGCTTGGAAATATCACCAAACGTTGTTGAAGCCCTGCGCTATGGAATTGGCACATCAACAGAGGCGGCATTGCAATGCTGGGCTGAAGAGAGGTTGGGCATGAGAAAGGAGATTTTGGAGCAAAATTGTTCCATTCTCAAGCAGAATGGATCTAACTACCGTGAAGAACCATGTGGGGTATTGATGGAGAAGAAAGGTAGTGATGGAGGAAAAGAGATGTACTTGCACTGGAAAGGACCTGCGAGGACAATATTGGCCGATTGCTCACATTACTATGACCGTGAAGGGAACAAGCACAACATGGATGAACAGGTCATTGAGCAAGCTGAAAGAGAGATGATGGCATTTGATCTTATGATAGCCTTTTCTTGCAAACCTACTGATGACCAAATACTTGAGGAAAACGACTTAATCTTGATAGGAATGCTGGGTCTGAGAAACACTAAATGGGAAGATACAAGAGAAGCAAGAGAAGCCATTAAAACTTGTAAGGCAGGTAGAGTTAAGATTGTACTGGTCTCAGGAGATGATGTTTCATCACTTGAACCCATTGCTCTGAAGTGTGGATTGCTGACCCCAGGCGGAGATGCATTGGTGCTTACAGGCGAAAAGTTTCGGAACCTCACTGATGAAGGGAGAATGGAGAAGGTTGATCGAATCCGTATTATGGGCAATTCCCTGCCATCTGACAGGCTGCTTTTGATCAAGTGTTTGAGACAAAAAGGTGAGATAGTTGCAGCCATTGGACAGAGAACAAATGATGCTCCGGCACTAAAACAAGCTGACATAGGGCTGGCAATGGGAAGTTGGAGTTCAGAAAAGGTAAAAGAGAGCTCTGACATTATAATTCGGGATGGGAATTTCAGTGTCTTAGTCTCCATATTCAAGAGTGGGCGATGCATTTTTAACAACATACAAAAGTTCATCCAACTCGAGCTCACCATGACAATCTCTGGGGCAGCAATAAACTTAATTGCAATCATATTTTCAGGTGATGCCCCTATAACATCATTAGAATTGATCTGGGTGAACTTAGTTGTGGCCTTCCTTGGTGGCTTGGCGCTGCTGACAGAGCCCCCAACTGAGAAACTAATGACCATGCCACCAAATAGCCCACTAGTAACCTTAGCCATGTGGAGAAACATAGTCACTCAAGCTCTATATCAGATAGGTTTTTCAGTGGCTCTTTTATACAAAGGACAAGCCATTCTGGGCATCAGTGAAAAGGCTGGTAAATCCTTGATTTTCAATAGCTTTGTTATTTGCCAGTTCTTCAACCAATTTAATGCCAGGGAGCAACAGGAGAAGAATGTATTCAAGGGTGTCCTCCAAAACGGCTGGTTTTGGGTGGCTGTCTGTGCTTTTCAAATGTGTCACTTGGTATTTGTTGTGATTGAACAAATTACCATCCACACCGCAAGCCTGAATTGGAAGCTGTGGACTTGCTGTTTTCTGATTGGGATAGTTTCGTGGCCGATCGACTGGGCTGTAAAGTGCGTGTCGATTTTCATTAAAAATGACTGGTCTGGAGGGTGGAACATCAATTGGAATGGCAAGTGCACGTGGGGTTTCATCAGAAAAGGAAGCTCTATGAGATCACCTTTGCTCCCTCAGAATTCGGTTAGTATGACAACCTCTGCTGCACTCTCAGAGTCTGCTTGAATTCCCACTTTAGTATCCACTCAGAATCTACAGGGTAGGAGTAGAATGTTCAGTCTTAAAATGACACCATCTGCTCTCTTACATAGGATTTGCTTGAATTTCTCACTTCATCCCTATTTTAGTACCAATCTTGTAAGATTGTTCCGTTGTGACTTGGAGGTATGCACTCATACTTAGCGGCAGCAGGTGTCTTAGTGTTGTAAAAATGTATCTTAAGATGTTGTTTTGTTCCTTAAATTAAGAACTTCAGAACCATGTCAATTATATATTATATCCACTGTTAACAGATTTTGTGCTTTCAAGTCTCAAGTTCATAATTTCAGTTTCTTTCTCTCTATAATTACTCAGCAACCAAACCAAGCATGACCAAATATAACAAGGAAAACAAAATTTAACATGCTGCAAAAGAGAATAGATCGAGAAATATATTAATTAGCTTTTCGTGTTACATAATTGTCAATATATATAGGTAGTGCGTATATACCACATACGTGTTTTCTTCTCCAGTGTGTAAACAATTAGGAACTTGCAAAGTATGTCATCAACATCAAACCAAAAATATAGAAAGTAATTTAAACAATCGATTATGATACAAAGCGTGTGCGCACTTACCTCAGCATGTACGCGTGAAGAATCGCAAGAATCCATTGATGGAATGAGAAAATATAGAGTGATACAATGCAGAAAGTGAAGTCAAGCTTGAGTCGTCTCTTGTGCTTTTTGCAAGTAGCAATTATGCAATCAATCCACAAATGTGGACAAGTTGACTACAGACTGTCAGGGACTATATATATATATATATATATATATATATATATATATATATCAAGTTTGCTTATCAGAGTGGTCTACAATCAATCTACTTCTTGTTATGTCACGTGTATGTCACGTGCGTTCAAAGGCATTAATTTGGGGGGAAAAAACAGGGCATTTTTTTTTCCATTTAAATATGGTTTTCGTTATAGTGCATTTTAGTAAACAATTATTGATAATAACTGTGATGATTATTTTTTGGATGGCCGTTATTTATATTTTGAGGAACTCGTGAATAGTTTGTAAACCTTTTTTTTTTTTTTTGTGAGCATATTTAGCATTATTTTGTGTTTCTGAAAAAATATTTTCAAATTAGACCGGGCATATTCAAATTATTTACAGTACTGATATCTATTTATTGACATTGGTATGGCTATCCTTCTTTTCTTCTGTTTTTTTTTTCTTTTTCACCATCCTGGCGCAAGCTCTCACACACCCAGCTTTTTTTTTTCTTTTTTTTTTTTTTTTTTTTGAAATTTTAAGCAAATTGTATAAATGAAAAAGGTTTACAATAAAGGCCTTCGGCCAAAACAGCCCTGAGAGGGCAAACAAAGCCCATAGGCTACCAACCCTTAGCTATGAAGAGCTAACCCAGAGCTTAAGCTAAAGCCAAAGCCCAACCGAAAGAACAAAAGATCTTCAGATAACAGTGACTTAAACTCTCAAATTACAAATACCATTAAATTATTGAATAGTTTGGTTACTTTGGTATGGTCCTAGTTATGCTTACTTGTGTGATATTGTATAAAATAATACAATTTATTATTATTATTATTTTTTTTTGAGGCAATTGATAATAAATATCTAAAAAATCATACATAACATTATAACATTAATGTTATGTTTTTTTTCCTTTAAACAACTATATATATATATATATATATATATGTAAATAGTACATGAAGGGCCTTCGGCCAGAACAAGCCAACCATATAGAGCGAAACAAAAGAGGAGCAAACAGCCCAAATTTGGCCACAACACTATGCCTTTGCCCATTACAGTCGGCCCATAACTAACAAATAACCTAATTTAAAAGGAACCAACATAGCGAAAGGGTGTTCTATAGTTTATTAGTTTAGTTTGGCAACCTCTTTTCATGGAGGTCTGTCATATCATTCCATGCTGGTGATTCTGGCATTAAATCTAAACTGTTGTAGTTATAACTTTGCTAACATTTAATTAATCAGTTATTTGTGCTTTTATTAAGATAGTGAATCTCTCTCTCTTCTGATTTGCTCAATTAATTATCAATTTATTTTGCAGTCACCTTACATTGGCCTGCCTTGAGTAAATTTGGACTGCAAGGAGTGGTTTTAACCGCAAAATACACTGAGTAGTTTTTGGCCATAATTGTCACTTTTTTCTTTTATCGCTTCACTATTTTAAAATATGAAAAATAAGTTTCAGATCATATTAATTTAGCAAATAAAAAGGACACGCTATTCCAAAATAAAAATTATTAATAGAACTTTTTTTTTTTTTTTTCAAAAATGGTGAATAAAATAGATAAAATTATGACTAATAGTCCCAAAAATAAAAAATGTAAAAGATGTATGTGATGGCAAACACCTTATGAGCATGAGGTGGCGGTTACTGATTTGCCAAATTTTTAACCCGAATCAGAACGGTCGAATGACTGTGAACTTTAAAGAAGGGAGTATATTATATTACTCCTATAATGTTATTTATATCATATATATATATATACTCGTACTACAGAAACAGAATTTGTTTGACACCTTGTGAATTGAATTGAGATCATTTATTACATGGTACAATGAAGTTGCGTGTACAAAACCAACGCTGGTAGGTGACGATTATATTATATATATATATATACACACACAAACACATCTATATATTTGTACGAGTGTATCTATATTTTACAGTTACGTTTGTGTTTTTGTTCACTCGCTTATTCTCCGGCTTAAGATCACCATAATCACAGGTAGGTCTTCCTTCCCAATCCTATCACCAATCTATTCATACAAAATCACAATATATATGCGTTGGTAGATGATGTTGCTCCATTAAAAGTCATTTCTTGATCCATGTCATAAGAAATTAATGTACGGCCTTTTATTAGATTCCAAATATCATTTCGTTTTCTCTTTTGTATTAGAAGTTCAAAAAAATTTCGACCATCAATTTCTTTTAGCCATTGTATGAATACCTATATATATATATGATCAGTTGATTGCAGGGCTTTAGCGTTATGGTTTTCTTATTCCTTCCCTTTCCTTTCAATGTTCTGTAAAGGCTCAAGCCGCTCAACTGCAAATGCATATACATATATATATAATCAATAGCGTGCTTTGGGTTCGAACCCATGTCCACACGCTAACTTTCGACATAGATTGGAACAAAGTGACTGCTTTGGGTTATTCCTTCCATTATTCTACTTTTCAATTTGGATTAAGATTATAATCAATAAAAGACAAACCTAACTTTCGACATAGATTGGAACAAAGTGACTGCTTTGGGTTCGAACCCATGTCCACACGCTACCTAGGTTATATATATATATATTGAGTCTTGAAACTGTTGTTTTCGATACTGAAATTGCACAAAGCCGCTGTTGTTGTTTGGCCAGAGATGTTCTTATGGGATATTTTGTCATTTTATTATCTCTTCTAATCCTTACTTTCAATTATATGTTTAAAAGAGGTGTTTTATTGTTTATAAAATCTAAAAATAAAAATAGAAAGAAGATCTATATCTGTTCTAAATTTTGCTTGATTTTTTTGAACCAACTGAAGTGCTTACTCAACTTTGATTGGATGCAGCAAAATCTTTTTAGTTGAAGTAGATTTTCCTTGGATATATTTTGGGAGAATTGGATTAAAATAGAGTAAAGAATCTGCTCTCTCGTCTGTTTTGCTAGGGAAGATTAGCTCTTGGATAGAGCAAAGGTCTCGAGCTTTGATTTCGCTAAATCCTAACCCAACTGATTTTACTTCGAAAATTGAACTCTTAGCTGTGCTTTATTGGTATCACTAAGGAGGTGATGACATCTTCTGATTTTAACTCCATTTATCTAAGAATTTATTAGTCAATGATTCTATAGAGCATTCTATGCAGCTTGATATGATGTTTTTTCCTATAATATATTCAACTTAATTTTTATGATCAAGTGCCATTGGATTTTTCAGATCAGAAGAAGCTGTAAAAGCAATCAGCATTAGGACTATCTTTTTGCATCTTCAAAATTTTAAAGTATAATCAAAGGTTTGAATGTTGATTGATTCATTTCACTGTATATAATTGTCAGTAAAGAAGTCATGATTGGTTGATTAGTGTAATATGGATAGTCAATTTACCTTGCGGTTTTTGCTTCTGATGGTTGTTTCAATTTATAATTGGAGCTTAGCAAAAAAAAAAATAATAATAATAAATCAACAATGACTGGAAATTATTTTAAGTTTGTTAGGAATGTTTCAGAAGAACAGAGAATCTCATCGTAATTAGTACACACCCAGAAACTCATCTTTCTTCTGTATTTATCCATGGACCATGGCAACAATTTCCTTTGTAGATAAGTAATAATGGACCATGGCACCCAGAAACTACTTTTAGAGTGTATGATGAAGCAGTTGACAGTATATGCCATACTTTAGGGTTTTGAAATGTTGATTACTCCTCTTTTAGTGCATGAAGTATTGGTTTTTGTAGTGATTCCAGTGAATGAAGGAAAATTAAAAATTGATTATTTCACGATTGCAGAAGAATTTGCTCAAATTGAAGCCAGATCACGAATTTATTGAACGTGCATAAGCGATTTTCAAATGACAGTTGAAGAAGTTTCAGAAAGACCTGAGTGGCACACTCTGCAGAGGGAGCAAGAAAGAGAACGACGGCGTATGCGGGACAGACAAAGAAGACAATCCATGAGTCTTGAACAGAGGGAAAAACATCTTGCTAGACGCCGTAGAAATTATCAACTACGTAGACAAAGAGCCGAAAATGCCCAATTGGATTCTCGGCATGTAAAAACAAGTATAGCAGCTAGAGGTGAACTAAAGACACAGAATGAAAATCAAGCGTTAGTTGCTGATTTGGAACTTAGTGTCCAGTGTGACGTTGTAGCGCATGTTGGATTTGACAGTGGACAAGAGACTCTAAATGCATCAGCTACAAAATCTGAGGGTAAACTCATCATGCATTTTGTATTTGGAAAATGTATAAAGTTCTATAAGGCAGTTAAAAACAGCACGAGTATGTAGATTTACTATTTCTTTGTGACTACATATGATAGGCGCGGAAGGTGGAGGTCAAAATTCAGCTAAACTCCCTCAAAGGTTACGTCTCAGTAAAATTAGACATCTTGCAAGATTATTGAATACTCCTGTGGGTAGGCTTGGTGCCACTCACCAAATTGGAGCAGATGTTGCAGCAAAGGAAAATGCAAGAACAAACTGTAAGTTTAGTTCTGATTTTTGTCCATGTACAGTTCAATGAAATTCTTTTTAGCAACATGAGATTTACAGGGTAGCAATGATTAATTTTTTAGAAGTAAACATATCCTAAAAAAGCAGCAAAGCTGGGTGCACAAATGCACACAGGAAGTAGCTCATGAGGAAAAATCACTAAACTATACTCTCATCTCAACAACAACTCTGCAAAAGAATCCATCAGCGAAGAGGAGTTACCAACAACAACACCAAGTCTTTTCCCAATTACCTGGGGTTGGCCAATAGAGTTCCCAGTAATCCAAAAAATTGGGAGCTCAGGACATGAAGCCTAAAATGCTCCACCAAAGATAAAAGGGAATCACCCTCCAAACTTCTCTAACTCGACATTCTCTCTAGCTAGCAAGCACTAAATTCAACTCATTTAGGCTTCTCATCTGGTTGGCTCCGTAGAGGAGCAAAAAGAAGTGCTAGAGATCTCTTGCCACCAGAAGTACAACAAAAAGATGACCAACTGATCAACTAATTTCGCCCCTGTTGCAAATGTAGCACCAATTAACAATATTTTTTCTTCTCTTCGAGAGGTCAAAAGGGTTGCCACCTATCCAAAGAAAGTGACCTCGGGAGGAGCTTCTTTTGAGCCACATTGCCTTAGTGAGAATCCCTGGCGGTTTTCTCCTTGAAGCACCCTGTCACAAATCTCACCTCAAAAATGCCTTCGATCTGACCCATCTCAACTCATCTGCCCCATCCCAATATCACCTGTTGGCCATATAAAATAACATAAAAGTATTTTCTCCATCCATTACTGTCATCGTTTCTGTAAAAATTGCACCAGCCCTCACGGCGAGCAGGCTTCACACAGCCGTGGTCGTCCTCAGCTAGTGAGATTCTGATGGCAAACACAATCTACTCTTTTCCTTCTCAGCACCAGGAACAGCCATTTGAAATGATCACTGATGCAGCAGCAACAAGCATCCTCACTCGTCTGCTCCACCTTCATCACACTTTACTTGCTTCCAAAACTGAAGGAAGAATAAATAGGAGCAGAAAATCTGGAAGCTTGGATACCACTACTCCAATCCCTACTGGTCAGCTTTGCCACCTGGTTCAAAAAAGAGATAGATCTATCAAACTTGCAGATCAAACATGAACTAAGAAAGCTTTTCCTCGCCTCAACTCCGTCCTTTGATGCTGTTAGGCAAAGTTTCTTTCCTTGCCCATCCACCACTTTCTTGGCCACCAGTGGGTTTTGCCAACAAGGCTGGGGCTTCTAAGTATGACCACTCTTGAGTTCTGAAAATCTTAAACTACTACTGGTATCATTATTGTCAGCTACTGACCCCACCCGTACAATTAACATTAAAACATATAATCATCAAATTGTCACCAGTCCAACCTTTCTTTTTTGATGTGGTTTGAGTCATACAAGTTCAAGTAGGGACCATAAATAATGATAATGTAGATAAAACCAATTTATATATGTGTGTGTGTGTGTGTGTATATTCTCCTTTCTTTTATATTATAAGTCTACAAGTTGGAGGCTTTGGTCCAGGTAGATCAAGAAGTGTTAGATTAGTTCATGTGAAACGTCTTGCGCGGGCTTTAAATTCTAGTATGAAAGAGACTGCCAATCAGAACCATTTAAGTGAAACTCAAGGTATGAGTCCTATATGTTAAATTTATAAAGGTGGAATTTTATCTCATCTGTCATATCTTTCTGTGTTTGCCACAAGTTTTTGCTAATTGTTGATCCTTTGATCCAGTGGAAAGGAGTCTGCCACAAGGAGAGATTTAGTTTTTGAGTAGTGATGTGCTGAAATATGCAGTCAGAAAAATGTTAAAGGTGAAAATCATTGGGTTTATGCTGTTAGTAATAAGTAGTAGTTTCTGATTTGTTTGAATAAAAAATTACTTGCCAAAAAAAAAAGGGATTTCATGTCATAGTTGATGTAATATGAAAATTTTCTCCATGTAGAGAGTAAAATATGTTTCTGGTATTATATTTCAGGATAAAGGTTGAGCTACAAAAGAGACTACTTTAAATCAAACTTATGGCCAAAGACATTTACCATCACGCATCCTCACAATATTGGTTTTGAGATATGTAAGTCAAAAACAGATGTTTGTACGTATTATTGACTTTTTAAGCTGGAATATTTTCCCATGTGCTACTAGCACATTTGTAGAAGATTATCAGGTCTTTGGAAATCATGTTTACTAGAACTTATTTCAAATTTTAATTTGTTTATTTTCATCCACTACCATGTTGCTGTTTTTATTATTTCACTCAGACCACCAGCCAATTCTTGTATGAAGTTAAGCTTTTTTTAGACTTTTCTTCTCAATTGTTCTTATTTTTGTTGACTTCTTGATAAGAGATATATTTTGTTCAAAGATAGACAGAGGATATACACGGTTCAAAGCAGATGGCCCACTCTTTACGGCCATTCCTAGTGGAAGATAAGACATCGGTAGGCTGGTAGCTCAAATTCTGTCTTTCCTTCTAAAAGTTATAGATTCAGACCATATATTTATGATGTAATATCCTACTTTAATTTCCAAGTTGATGAAGTGAATGTTTAAAGGTAATCGTTTTTTGCTTCTCAAAAAAGGCCTAAGGTAATCGTTTTTTGCTTCTCAAAAAAGGCCTAAGAGATCATTCTTATCCCCAAAATTTGAAAGTTCTGGTTTGTGGGAAATTTGAAGGATGGTCTTGGAAATTTTGGAAATATATGCTGTTTGAAGAGTGTAAAGAATTTGACATGCATTTTATATAACAGTATAACTCATTTGACGAATTTATTATTTAGTATCTTGAATTTGTTTTTAAAATGGTCAGGAGCAACAAAAACGACTGACCAATCTAGCAAGGAGTTGTAACTAATTGTTCTTACTGTAATATTTGATGGGGAGTGAAAATAGAAGTTACGAAAATAGACATGATGGTGGCTGAGGAGTGAAGGGTTGTTGAATTGGTCCCAACGTCTCAATATTGAACCGCTTGCTGCTTTTATGCCATTGTTTTCTCATTTTAATGTCGTATTTTGACTGACTTGATCTAATTTGTAGATTGGCTTTTTCAGTATTGGTACCTATAACTAATTATGTGACTCTTGCTTTGAACTGAATTAGTTTGGTTGTTTTATGACTGCAGGACAAAGAGAGTCAAACTTGCATACGAGGGAAGAGTAATTCGGGGTGATTAATTGTTCTGAGGAGGGGTAGAAATGTTTTAGGTTTACTTGATAGTGCAAAAAGCTTAATAATAAAGCTGATTTTTTTTTTTTTGTTTAAATATTCTTCACCGAAAAGATTAATCAAGACCCTTGATGTTGGGCTATAGCTGAGCAAATTTTGGATGCATTGTCAATATGTGTTTAGTGGCACACAGAAATGAGAAATTTTACCCACTTTATTCTTGGTTTGTTGATTATTTCCATTTTCGTACCTGTTATGATTCTTCCTTTTTTGTAGCCTCCACTGTAGTGAGGTGGATGTGGGTATATATTATATAAGGGTGCAAGCTCTGTATGCAATTGTAATTTTTAGCCATGTCCATACACAATCATTGTCAGCTGGAAAGCTCTCTCTATTAGAGTTTGGTAGATAAATTGTAGGAGCTTTCTTCCTACTTCTTAGAAACTATTGTTTCGTTCTGGTTTTAATTTGTATTAATCAAAAAATTGTGTGTTTTTACCTCCATAATCATAAATATTCTATCATATCAATGATTGAAGTAATGCAAATGAACAAATATCTGCTTTTCGCCCTGAAAGATGGCCCGTGGATTAATTTTTAATGGCCTCTGATATCTTAATTAATGTGAAAATCATTGAACTTGGTTTTTCTATAGATGTTTGGTTATAAATGCAAATACTTTTTGCTCTCTCTCTCTCATGATCCATGTCTCTGTTATAAATGTCTACTTAATTTTAGATTGCATTCTGCATTACATTTTTTCAGAAAGGTACAGCAGGAGAACATGACTTGTAATTTGTACAACTACACTAATTTTATATTTGTTTTCCTAAATGAATCCAAGGGATACATACAGGTTTCACTCTAAATTCTAACCTCCTGTGTATCATAATGAGGAAAAAAATAGATCAGGCCTGAGAAACATCAATATACTCTGAAACTGGGAGAGCATTTGCTTTCATTGAGAGTCGAACTCAAGACCTCCCGCTTACTAAACGGGTGCTCTAACCAACTGAGCTATGAAAGCTTGTTGGCGAAGTGTCGTACTAAGAAAGTCTAGTTCGCTGTGTCCTGTGTCCTTTGTATTTAGTACTGTAAGTAAGTTTGGTTACTCCACAGGAACTCCCAAAAATCATTTTTCCCTCAACTTCCACATCTGTTTGGTTACTTCAATTGATCTAGGACAATGAATTTGCTGTGGTAACACACAAGCAAATGATTTTCAACACTTTAATTTATGACAAGCCACCCTTCCACATCTGTTTTTTTTATTTTCTTTTTTTTTTGAAAAATCAAATAAAAAGAGGGAAAAAATAGCATATATCTGTTAATTTGCAACACTTAAATCATTGATATCTTAGAATTCCATCCTTGTTTATAGAGGTAATTAAAAACTTGTAATAATTGGACATAACCAAATCAATATAGATACTAACAATTAGAGGAAATCAATCATACACACTGTTTAGAATAGTAGAGACAAAATTCAAGTCATATTAGATAAGTAGGAACCCACAATTTATCTACCAAACAGGGGAAGCCTCCTTACATATTTTTAGCTACAAAACCAGAAAACATTTTGCACAAATCTTTAATTGCACCCCTTACACAAAGCTCATCATCCTAACCGTGAACAAAAAGGCAACAAAATTGCACTTTACCCTAACTAAACAAAAAAGAAACATAATAAAACATCAACAAGAATGAATTTCATATATAATCAACACTCTCTCATTCATAAATAAGACTTTGCCTTCACAGATCCCCTCTAATCAGTTCAACCACATATTTTCCAGGCTTACGGTACTGAAGAGTTGACAAATGTGGTTGGAGGGCCCTTGCAAGAGATTTATAAAGATCTATATCGACAACCTGCAAAGGAAAACAGAGCAAAACAGAACATAGTTAATTATATTCCACAAACAAACATATATAACCAAATATTTGTATATGTCATCAAAGTGTAAGTTGCTAGTTTCCTTATGAAAAAAGCAAATAAGAAATGGAGACTCACCTTTGTGGTCTTTAAAGCTGTTTGGATCACATAATTACCAAATTGATCTCGAGCAAGTTCTAGAAGTCTGTTGCTCTTTATAAGCTCTTCAACCACATAACACATCCCTTCTCTGGACAATCTTATGCATTTCTCAACTACGTGGCTGCCAGTTTGGGTCGTTGAGAGCTGTATATAGTTGCCTCGGAGACGAGTGCAAATATCAAGAGTAAGATCATGGTTATGGAGTCCTAGGACATGTTGCACCACAAAGTTCCTGGACAAATCAAGACCATCAACAACACAAATGGGTTTAGTTTACCTAAACAACACGATTACATGATTGCATGAAAATTAAGCGGTCTTGCTTCTAGGATATGGAATCATGAGATTTATACGTACCCTGAAGGATCATACGAAAGGGAAACCGAGTTACTCGAGATAATGCTTAGGAGGTTCTGTCTGTGATCACCTGTTATGCAATTAATGCAATCATTCAGGGATACACATCCCTCTGGGTGTGTAGCCAATGACATACAATTCCTTATAGCTTCTCCGTATAATACCTGAGATCATATGATTGTTATGAATTCATGATACTGCAAGATCGTAAATAAAAGCTTAATTTTCAACTTCAATTGCATATTGTTTTGTGAATTTTGATTTGGCCAGTTTATAGTTAACTGCATATAGTGGAAAATTCAGGGAAACAGAGGAGAATAAAATTACCTCATTCGTCTTATAATCCAATCCAACGAAACACTGAGTAATAACACGCCTGCCTGTTTTGTTGATCATCAATTCAAAAAATCCGGAAGATAGAGCTGCTGTCATCTTGAAGGCCGAGGGTGACTTCTTCAGCTGTTTGATGAGTTTCAGAATTGAATACGAGCTGTTAAACAAGTTATGCCATTAGTCAAGCTCAATATAATAAGCATGTTAAAATAAACACCCCCCCCCCCCCCCCCCCCCCCCCCCCCCCAAAAAAAAAAAAAAAAACCAACTGTTTAGGATATGTATACTCACCCATATTGATTTAATGCTGCCTCCTTAAGTGAATAGGGTTGTAAGAAAATTTTTTCCACAATCAATTGCAACTGCATTTTGCCTGTGTATGCTTCCACTAATTTGTCAAAGACATGATGTCCTTGCTGGTCCATCATCAGCTCAAACATAGAGTCAAGTACGTTCATAAGTATCAAATCTGCATAAGAACTGTTAAGTTTCAAAAGATCCTGCAACTGTCTGGAGCATTCTTTATCTTTAGCCAACGTGATTATGTTGTATCCAAGCCAAGCCAAATCAGGTCTTGGTTCACACCGGTCTCCAACATAATTCTTCTGATTCGTTGAACCATAGTACTCGCCATTATCGAAATAACCAGTACCATAGCTTGTAGTAGCACCAAATTGATGATGAGTAGCACTACTACTGGCAGACAAATTTTGAGTTTCTGGATAAAAATACTGATTCCCACTCATCATATAATTATTTCCCCTCCCTGAGACAGTACTGGCTCCAACATTCACAGCAGAATTCTGGTTCCAAAGCAGAGCACCTTGTCCTACAAATATAACCAACAAAGAAAATTGAACTATCATATGTACATATTTAATATAGGATAACCAACAAAGAAAATTAAACTATTATATCTACATATTTAATATAGGATAAAGTGAAATAAACCCTCCTGAACTATCAGCTAATAACGCAAAACTCCCTGAACTAAGTATTACCTCCTGGAATATTTAAAAAGTACAGGCACCGAGGTTACCAGAGATACAAGATTACCATAGTCTCTCACAAGCACTCCATCGTATTGAAAACTAAAACAATTACTCAATCGAACCCTACAAACTCACTGCCGCCACCGTCATCGAAGAGTTGAATGGTTTAAGTGGGAAGAGAGTATAAATCAGGGGCTGTATTGCACTTTACCCTTTAATATATTCAAATTCTTACATATATATAATAAATATATTCAAATTCTTACATATATATAATAACTATGTATTTAGAGATATAAAATATGTTACCAATTACTAAAGAACTTATAAGTATTGATATTAGGAATTACCATGTGCATTGCTAGGATTTTGATGATATTCCCAGATACTATCCTGAGCAGTTGATGGCAATGCAAAGAATTGTTGTTTGTCAGCATCTGAATTGGAAGACCAATTATCAGAGCTTCTTATGGAACGTGTATCCACCACTTCCCTTTGAATTTGATCTGCAGAGGTGTTAGAAGATGAGCCTCCTGCAGTGCCATTGACGACAATATTGTTGCCCTCATCAGAAATAATTTTATTATTAATTACATGCCGATTACACGCCCTAATTACTTCACCATCTTTCTCAAGGGCAAGATTGAGAAACGAACTACTGAGAAGATCTTCTTCTTCAAAGGAAGAAGTAATAAGGGTTCTTGAATTGATTGGAGATTCACAAGTTGAACCCCACATGCTCTAACTCTGAACAATCAAACTTTGCAAGAACAAGAAGAATAGGCCTACAAGCTAAAGTAGCAACAAACAAGAAGAGGAAGACAAGGAAAGTTTTCTAAGAATGTAGTGGCATCATTTATTTATAGGAGAATGCAATGCAGTTGGAAACTGACTAGGAGAAGAGTGGTTTTCAAGTTAGACTAGGAACATCGACTTAATTGGATTTTAATAGAACAAGAATTAAAACATCGATGGGTGTTCGTTCTACCTGTAACTTGTAAAAACACGATGAATTGGAAAACCAAGTAGTTAGTTACATGGAATTAATAATTAGAAAATAAAATAGGTTTTTTTAAAGGCAATCCTAAAGAAACAAGACTTGTTTCCCAAGTTCCATCAACAAGGAAGGTTTCCTTTTTCAGAGTGAGACCGTCTAGTTTCCTTTTGTAATGTTTTTGACTTTATTTATATATATATTAAAGTCCACATGAATTATAAGTCAATATAATGACTTAAGAGTCATTACAGGCTCATTGTCCTCTTCCTCTCTGTGTATCACTCTCTCTCTCTCTCTCTCTCATCTAGTAGCTCTCTTTTCTTTTTCTTTTTTGTTCTTCAAAACTTCAAGACTTGATTTCTTCCTCATTTCTTAGTAGATTAAGGTGCCGTTTGAGACAAAATGAAACCCACTACAAGCTCTACGCATCCATACGAACAATTCCAGATTTATTGCCCTCCTTGGAGTTCGAAATTCAAGACCCATTTTAAGGGTTCTGTGCAAATTTGAGGTAGGGGTTCTTGATTCCCGTTTTTCTTGCTCCTATGT